TCCCTTCTACTTCCTGAGCGCCGGGGCCGCCGGGCCCGACCCGGGGGCAGCTCCGGGCATTGCCGCCCCTGCTGCAGTAGCGGGCCTGGGATCCCGGGCTCCTCACGTGCAGGGATCGGCCCGGGCGACCCCCGTGACGAGGGTGGGATCGGCAGCCCCTGCGCGAGCCTCGAGCGAGACCGGGCGGCAGGCAGGTGAGAAGCGCGAGTGGAGGCTGCGCGGGGGGAGGGGTCTTCGGGGAGCTGCCTGCGCGGGTGGAGCTGGCACCCTTTTGGATCAGTCACTGCGTCTGCTGCTCAGGCTGGCGATTCTCTGCCTGCATCCGCCACGGTTTGTCCAGGCCGTAAGTTGGCAAAATGTACCAGGCAGTACGCACGGTTTCTTCTCTCGTTAGACCTGGCACTCCGAATTGATTCTTTACTCACGGGACTAGTTGATTTTCCGGGTAAAGAAATCTTTGCCCTGCGAACCAGCCTCCTACCTTGACCTCCACGCTCTGGAGAGGGAGATCCGAAGCTGAACTCGCAGACGGCAAACTCGCTTTTGGAGGGACTCGTCTGGTAATGCTGGAAATAATTCAGGCATTGGCTGTTTAGGACAGCGGCACTGGACGGATATAAAAGATTTACGTGGATACAAATGGAGCTGTGAAGCTTTGGTTGGTCCTGGCTTATTGATCTTGTGTAATGCCTGTAATTTCTGTATGGGAATGAGAATATTTTACATTGGTTACACTTTTTAACTTATTAATTAGGTCTTTAGACTTTTTGTTTTATTTAGCCACAGGTATATGGGACAAGAACTAGTTGATGCCTGAATATGATTCCACTCAGAATTTAGGATGACAGAATGATAGTCATTGGGTTTATTTTATAGACAGCAAAACCAACAGAATGGGGGGGAAAATACAAGTATTTACTTTTTACTCATTGTCAATACTTAACCTTGATTTTTACTAAAAGTGTTTCATTTTGTGTCACTTAGATGTGATCACCTGGATTCTCCTCATTAGAGTTCCTAGTGAAATGTATTGGACACCCTAATCCAGTTTATTTGTGAAATAAATTTTTAAACATTAAGGTGATGAAAGCAAACTTTAAGTTCAGAAAATAGTGGATTCCTGTTGCTGGATATTCAATAACATACATTCTTGGTGGAATCCATATCAGTAACTGCTGCAGGGTCATCCTTTTTTTTTGTTATTATGTTGTACCTTGACGTTTCGACCCATTCATTACCTGGCTTGTCTTCCAAGGCCTATGTGAGATGATTAGTTTTCCTAACTTTCTTTTTAATTCACAGGCAGAGAGTATGTTATTCCATCCTTGGCTCACAGATTTATGGCAGAGATGGTGGATTTCTTTATTCTCTTCTTTATAAAAGCAACCATTGTCTTAAGCATTATGCACCTCAGTGGAATAAAGTAAGTTACGGTCATTTGCAGAAAAGATTTAATTTTTACTGTTTAGAAATCTTGTTTTGTTAAGTTCTGTTCATGCCTGCAAGTGACTATACAGATAATTGGTGTGACAGTGTCATGTTATTTTTAATAAGAGCTTTGTCAGATTTATTGTATTCTTGTTGGGCTTTAAGAAATAACTACAGGGGGTGGGAAACAAGCAATAACTTCTGTAAAGTGTGTGGGTATCTCACTTATGAAAAATAGAGACAAGGAACCTCCAAACCTGGTCTGATTTTATTCCTCTTACTATCCTGTTCCCTCTTGCTGTCCTGTGGAGTCTCTAAAGAAAAAGACATAAAGAGTTTTTGGTAGGTGAATTATTAATAATTAACTAGATGACATTTCCAAATGGGATTGCTTATACTTATCAGGCAAGTGAGATATATATTTGAATAATCCTTTCAGATTAACAATAGTCATAATAGTAGTTATCACTTCCTAAGTACTTTCTATTTGCTCGGCACTGAGCTTATGTCTATGAGTGGATTCTTATTTAATCATAATACCACTATGAAGAAGAGGTTAATACCTCCATTTTATAGAGTGTGAAATTTGGGTTTATGAGAGGTTAAGCCCAGAACTTAGAGTTACAAAGATGGTAAGTGGCAGATACAAGTTTATGTAGTCAAATTCAAGGGCCCTGGCCAGGAATCTAAGTGTTACTGGGATTCCTCCCTGCCTATCCCTCCCTCCCTCCCTCCCCACCTCAGGTCAAATATCAATTCCTTTATGTTCAATCTCCTAAATAGCTTTCAACCTAGGACACTTCCTCCTCGCTGCCAGACTGTTTTTCATCATCGCTTCTCCCTATCCCAGTTACTGTCATCTCTTGCTTGGGTTATAGCAAAAGTTTCTTAAATTGGTAACTCAGCCTCCTGTCTTCTGTGTTATCTCCGTCTAGCCTCTTACATGATCATAAATTCTGAATCTGCCCCCTCTCTTGCCTTAAAACCCTTCAATGAATTCTTTTTGCCAGCAGGATAAAGTCTGAATTTCATCATGAGGTTTAACAGATGCCCTTATTTTTTTATTTTCTTTTTTGAACTGAGAGTCTTTGTCACTCAGGCTGGAATGCAGTGGCACAATCATAGCTCGCGACAGCCTCAAACTTCTGGGCTCAGGCCATCCTTCGACCTCAGCCTCCTGAGTAGCTGGGACTACTACCGGCACATACCACCAAACATGGCTAATTTTTTGATGTTTTTGTAGAGATGAGGTCTTGCTATTGTTGTCTAGGCTGGTCTTGAACTCCTGGGCTCAAGCAATCCTCCTACCTCGGCCAAAGTGCTGGGATTATAGGCGTGAGCCACCATGCCTGGCCAGATGCCCTTATTTCTTAATCACTGTCACCTCACACACTTAATATTTGAGCTATACCAAACTACTTGTAGCTTCCATCACACACTCTCTTGCTTCAAGGCTTTCTCTCATAGTGCTTCCTCCCTCTGGAACTTTAGTCTGACCAACTTCTCTTCATCTTATCCTCCCCTAAATGTCATTTCTGGGAAGGCTTCACAAGGTTACTTCCTGGTGTGTGTGTTTTTGTATTCTCCTGTGGTTCCTTATCACAGCTCTTATCCCACTTTACTATTGCTACTTAGTTATTGTTTTCCTTGCTAGGTTAGACTCTCCATGAAAGCAGAGACCACATTGAATTCATTCACCAATACGTCCCCAGGGCTAGTACAGTGCCTGTTCCTGCTAGTGCTGTTTATTTGTTGAATAAACTAATGAATGTTTTATGAAACTAGATGATTGGGAACCTAAAGATAAGTTCAGAATTTCAGTTAAAATGTATGACTTATACTAATGAAAAAAAATCAGCACAACAGTTCAGATAACTAATTCTTTATAACCCTAAACTATTATTTCATGTAGGGATATCTCTAAGTTTGCTATGCATTATATAATAGAAGAAATAGATGAAGACACATCAATGGAAGACTTGCAGAAAATGATGGTTGTGGCTCTTATATACAGATTATTAGTTTGTTTCTATGAGGTAAGCTGCAGACTTCAGCAAATATTAATATTTAACAATCTAATTTTAGATTATCAGCCCACGACAAAAAGTAATGGAAATTTATAATTATTCCTATATTTTTCAAATGTCTCTTTCTACTTTTCTGGTTTTTCCAAAATTTCTTTAACATATTTAAGTTAAAAAAAATTTCGGAAGGAAGATGTTTTACAGTTCTTTGTAATGTTTTTCCAGATTTAGAAATGCAAATAAAATTTCACTCATAAATAGAATGTTTATGAATGTTACAGAATGTTTATGTCCAAAAATATACTTGTAAGTTGGTTGTGGAATTTGAAATGTATTTTTCCATACAAACAACTTGCTAAAAGTATAATAGACACAGATATATTACAGTGGACATCTTGTGGTATTGAACATGTTAAAGACCTACAGAAAAGCATTACATTGTTAACCTTTTGAGTACTCTGTGCAATTCTTTTAACTTGAAAATTTTAAAACATGAAATAGTATGGTAGGAAAACATCTTTAAAATTGGTATAGTTGAGCCAGTAAGTTATTTCTAATTATCCTTCTTTTCTTAGATAATTTGCATTTGGGGAGCAGGTGGAGCAACCCCAGGGAAGTTTCTGCTAGGGCTTCGAGTTGTGACATGTGATACATCAGTGCTTATTGCACCGAGTCGGGTTTTAGTGATTCCTTCCTCAAATGTTAGCATCACAACGTAAGTCCTTTTCTTAGCTTGATCTATAGTAATCAATATAATTCATAAGTTGTAGCATTTGATACAGTATTTTATTATTTTTTCCTTCATGGTATATATCAGATAGGCTTACATTTATTAAGTTTAAAACAAAGTTTGTGAGTATTTATTTCAGTTGTTATATAGTTGTAGACCTCTCTTTAGTATACATTTTTAAGATGATCATTTTATGAAATATAAGTCCAATAATAAGAGGATGATCTGGATGTTGATGCTATATCAGTGCTTAATTATCCTCTAGCTCTGTGGACATTGCATCAGTTACTAATCTGCTTTGAGCCTCCATTTGGTCATACCTGTCATTATCCCATCTTGAATGGGCAATAAGTTTTGACAGCTTATGCATTTCATGTATCCTGCTCCTGCTCTTAAGGGGTAAAGCTTATAGTACTTCCAGTACTCATGGCTAACTGCTGTCATCTAGTTCTGGGGGAATGTACAAATAGTGATAATGGAAGTAAGTTGTGAAGGCGAGTGGATGATAATCAGTTCCACCAAACAAGATACTGGCGGAATTTTTGCCAAAATGGTTCAGAGCTGGATTGTTGTGTCAATAAATATGAACAAGTGACTCTAGAAGAAGCCTTGGTTTTGCTGACATCCTCAGAATTTTCTTAAAATTTTGTGGTTATGATCCTAGCTACTTCTTTTAATAAAAGAGTCAATAATGGCTGATGTTTATCAAGCACTTATACAGCAGCAATTTTAGTAGCACTGCATATGTTTGAACTAACTTAATCCTAACAACCTGGTGGAGTGCAGTGGCTCATACATGTAATCCTAGCACTTTGGGAGGCCAAAGTGAGAGGATCACTTGAGCCCAGGAGTTCAGAACCAACCTGGACAACATAGCAAGACCCCCATCTCTACAAAAAAAAAACAGAAAAATAAGTAGGGTGTGGTGGTGTGTGCCTATAGTCTCAGCTACTCAGGAGGCAGGACAGAAGACTCAGGAGGCAGAGGTGGAAGGATGGCCTGAGCCCAAGAGGTGTTAAGGCTGCCGTGATCTGTAACTGTGCCGCTGTACTTCATCCTATCTCAAAAAAAAAAAGTCCCAACAACCTTCTAAGATAGATACTGTTATCCCTTTTTGCAGGTGTAGAACACAACTAGTAATTGGTAGAAGATGGATTCGAATTCAACTAGTCTGGATTCAGAGCCTACACTCTACACTATTCTGTAGCATCTCAGTGCACTGATAGGCAGAAATCTAACATTAGTAAGATAATTCTTCATTCTGAGTGATTGTTTAAAACTTTAAAGCTTCCCTTAATCTCTGGATCCCACAAGAGAGTTGATAAAAGAACTTAACAGTAATTTAAAATGCTAGTGCTTCATATAAGGTAGAAAATAGGATTGCAATAAGCATACTCAGTTTAGAAGATACCAGAAACACATTCTTCTGGCAAAATACTAGAAAATACTGTAAACCCTTAGTTCATGTTCTAAGACATGTTTAGTACTGCTTTTTATGTTCAAGTTCTAAGGTCTTTTATGTTAATGAAATCGTTCGAAATAGTTCAGGTGGTTTGATTATGATGCATTGCTACTTGAAAATAACTCCGATATCAAAGGTAAAAATTCTCGCAATATACTTTGAATATGCTTTTTCCTCCTGTGGATTTTCATAAAGAAGTGTGAACATGTTTTAAATATATATTTTGAACTTGATGGAATACCATTATTCTATGTGGTTGACATACTTACCTGATTTTTTTTTTAACTTTTTAGGTCTACTATTCGAGCTTTAATCAAGAATTTTTCTATTGCTTCTTTTTTCCCTGCTTTCATCACACCACTGTTTTTTCAGCATAATCGAACAGCCTATGACATTGTAGCAGGAACCATTGTGGTAAAAAGAAGTGGGGTCAGATGATGCCTCAAAAAGCCCTGATTTATAAAACCTATGGAATAATGACAAGACTAAATTACGTATCAAGGCCATCAGTATCCCTGGGTTATATTAATTGATGATTTAGAAATTAAAGCAGTCACTCCAGTGTGATACAGGTGACTATTTTCAAAGTATTGATTTTACTTGAATGCCAAAGAAATCTTCCAGAAGAAAAAACTTATTAAATTCAAGTATTTAAAATGTTTAGATAAAAAAGACGGCAAGTGGTTTTATAATCAACAGTGGACAATATTCTTAAGATCTAAGGCATTAGGATTTCTGAAAGTTTTCAGCTTTGCAATCGCTAAGTGAAACTTTGAAAATTTATTTTGGTTTATCCCAAAATAATGGAAAATGTCCAGTTGTGTTTTGTAAACACCTACATAATTCATCTTGTAGTTAACACTTTCTGGGGAAATTGTCTGGTTTTGGGGGGAGGGAATGGGAACACAAATTGGATAGTCCATTTATCTCCCATCCCAGGAGGTGTGGTGAGTTAGCCGCAAGAAAGTGGAACAAGAAGGGCTGGCCTGGCAGTTTCCTTACCTGAAGTTTTCCAACCTGTACTGCAGTTCACTGTGGTAATGATGTAACTTTACAACAGTTCTTAATGCTTAAACATGTGTTTGTGGGCAAGCTTTTCATGATGATGAAATGTTGTCATATTGCTATATTACCATTGTGTTTTTTTTTAAGTTAGTGATTTCTTTTAATGGGGGGGAGTAAATTTTCACTGTAAATTTTGCTTATAATTCATGTGCAAGTATTTTCAGTGCCCTGAATCAAACTAATAAGTGTGGAAAATATGCTTTCATTAAACTGTTGCCTATTTACTATAAAACAATATTCCCAGTATGTGCAGCATGAAGAAAGTATTAATGCTTTTCAGTGTTCTGAATATGAGTGTAACTTCTATTGATATACAGCATATTCACATACTAGTTAGTTTTCTTTTATACTTATAGTTCCATGACTGTTGGAAACATCAAGGTATTAAAAAACTTCATGATATTTCATGATTAAACATTAGTAGCATGTAAAATATTAGCAGTTTTCCTAATATGTACTATTCTTTCTAAAGCAAGGGAGAATATCATTTCCAGACATTCTAGGTTCTTTTAGGCTCATTTTGGGCCTGCTAGGGGCAAAGTTTGGGGGGAAATGTTATGCAAAGTAATAGCTTGTATTTATATCTTGCCGCTTTACTTTATTCTTCTGTTGAAGCAAAATTTTGGGGTTTTGTGTATCTGTACTTTTCGTAAATGTCCCAGTTAGCTGTGTTGAGATATACCTGTGCTATTTATAGTTTTATTTGATTCATAGGTATTTTCTCCAGCTCTGCTGTTATTTTCCAAAAAACACTAAACTTTATTGCACACTTCAAAATTAGGGTGCTTAAAAGATCAATATAGGCAATGTCCATGGTCTTAAATATAATATTAAACATAAGACACATCTAAAAATCTATAAATTGATCACTGTATCAGTTTCCAGAGTAGGTTTTTCTTTGACATTTAAAACCAGGAAAATATTCACATTTGATATTTATAGAAACTTTAGCAAATGTCCTTATTTATAATACCTTTTCATTATGAAATTTCATAAACCATGTTTTTCAAAATAACTTTCCATAGCTTTACAGAAATGCTATTAGTTAAGAAGTATGTCAAAGTACTAAATAGATCATTGACATGTGCCCTCTGGGAAGAATTAGTGTTATGGTCCTTCACAGTGAAAAAAATTTTTTTTTTTTAGAAAATGTTTAATAAATGTTGCACTTTAGTAGTATATGTACAAGTACTGGTTTACACACTACTTTTGCCACCAACTGAGGAATTGTTGCTGAAATGTTCTTCATGTAGCTCTGGAATACACCTTAAGATTCTTAATTTCTGCTCAGGTAATTGAACAGTTTGCCATCTGTGTTATTTCCATCTATTAAGTAAAACAAAAGCAAACTGGTCCGGCTTAATTTGTTATATTTAAAATATTGCATGTTTTCTCTACATGAGTAATTCAGATTAATATCTATATAGGTCCACTCAGATCTAACCATGGATTCAAGTTATACTATACAGCCCTATAAAATACATAGAAGTATTATTGTCTGCCTTTACAGGAGAACCCAAGTCTGTTTCTATTTATGAATCTAGCACTTAGGGAAAGAGATTTCTAAAGTCAAAAAAAATGTGAAAACAATGAGGGAAGAGGGAACCAGGCCTTAGAGCCACGTATTTTTCTCTTGGGGTTTGTATGGTAGTCTTTCTTCTTTTCAGAAATACTTGAATATATTTCACTTATAGAAATACTGGTTTTCTCTGTCAAAGTGTAATTCTTATGCTTAAGCTGTAGCCTAAAAAGGCAAAAGAAAGTTTACTGACATCATCTATCACATAACAATAAGGGAACAAAAATCAAGAGTCAAATGTGAGAATACTATTTTAATGAGCATGCCCCTAAGTGAAACCAGAGAATTGGCAGTTAATTTGTGCTGCAGAAAATATTAGTACCCATCACTAAAGATAACCTGAGTGGCTACTACACCTTGAAAAAAGTCTGGCATACTAAGTGAATAATGTTCATGTTGGAGCCAGGAGCTGGGCCTAGGGTAAGTAAGCATGATTTATGGCCTTGCTTTTAGGCTACTCTTGACTATAGAAATAAAGCCAGCACTTTGGGAACTAGCAAGCCTTGTCAGTATTATAAAAAGTATCACCCAACTGATACTTTGCTTCTACAAAACATTTACTTTCCAATTTTAGCCAAGTATTTAGGATCGAAAAAAATGCATTATATTTGAAGGCCATATTGTCTAGATTACAGAATTAATGTTTTTAATTGTTTCAAATAACAATAAAAAAAAGGATTTGTTCCCTTCAATAACTGTTTGGGTGTTTTACTTATGCATGTTACTTCTAGCAAAGGGAAGGTAGAAGAGTTGAAAATTTAGTTCTTGCTACTTGGGAATAAAGGGCTTTTTGAGGGGGTTAAGAGTATTAAATGTTTTCATTCTACACTGTCTCTACTAAAACAGGCAATTGTTTCTTTGAAGAATGTCTAAATAACAGTATTCCTAAAATCTGACAAGTACCATTTTAATCATTTCACATTCCCCAGCCCTAGTACAATGGGCCAAAGTCTCTTGCCTAGGTCAAGTTCCTCATTTCAAATTGTGTATATACTTCCTTGTGGTTCATTATAGTAGGGCTTGACCTGCAAACAGTATTGATGGCCTACCTACAAATAAAATTCAGCAGTGTTTCTAATAAATTTGTATGCCAGCAATTTGTACTATCTCAATAAATACTTAGAGTCCACCAATGCCTATGTGTGTTGTCTAATTCTTTGAGAAGGTTTGCTCTAAAATCTCTCACTTAAGGAAACCTTGCTTCCAAATACAGCTTTCCCAGTAGCTACAGCAGTAAACTAGAATGCTTTCAGAAATAGGTCTATGGAACTCGTCAATTTTTAGAGACATCCTCTTTTAACAAGTAGTACACTCAGAAGTACATGAACAGGTCGGGTGCGGTGGCTCACGCCTATAATCCCAGCACTTCGGGAAGCTGAGGCGAGAAGACTGCCTGAGCTCAAGGTTTGAAAGCAGCCTAGGCACCTTGCCTATACAATAAATTTTTAAAAATTAGCCAGACTTGGTGGTGCACATCTGTAGTTCCAGCTACTTGGAAGGCTGAGGTGGAAGGATCACATGAGACTCAAAAAAAAAAAAAAAAAAAGTACATGAACAAAACAATGTTAAAAGCTTTAACCATCACAACCATCACACAAAATTAAGTCTCATAGCTAGTAAATGACTGAGATGGGCAACTTAAATCCAGTTCTGACCTTAAAAGCCTTTCCTATTCTTTCACAAACATGCCCAGAGGGGAAGGGCAGGATACAAAACAGGTTCCTCAAGAAAGGCAAAAGACATAAGAGTAGCTAAAATATAACCTAGTTTGAGTCCTGTAGACAATGTGCTGCTACAAGCCTAGCCACAACCTACACATTTTGGAACCACAGAGGATTTTCAAGATAAGTTATAAAGTTGCCTCATATTACAAACAAATGAAGGCTGACTGGCACAGTCATAGTTGGTATGTGTTGTTAGACCTAGTAACCCCATTTTCTCAATTTTATTATACCAGATTTGTCCATTTCCATTAAACACACAGGCTAACCTTTATAAAACTTCCATTGAATTTCAGACTTTAAAACGGGAACAAGAGCCAGGCACGGCGGCGGCTTATGCCTGTAATCCCTGCGCTTTGGAAGCAGAGGCGAGAGGATTGCCTGAGCCCACAGATTTAAGACCAGCCTGGGCAACATGATGAGACCTCATCCCTACAATCAGTCAAAAAAACAATCCAGGTTTGGTTGTACACACCTGTAGTTCCAGCTACGTGGAAGGTTGTGGTGGGAAGAGCACATGAGTCCAGCAGGTTGAAGCTGCAGTGGCCATGAGTGTGCCACTGCACTCCAGCCCCAGCAACAAAGTGAGATTCTGACTCAAAAAGCACAGAAAATGGCATGCTGAGATAATTAAAGCAAACACTTAAGTTCTTCCCAGGAAAAACCAGTTTATGCCCTGGTTACAAATTGTTAAAATTAATTCAGTAATTTATTTCAAATAATAAAATGCTGATTACATGAACAATTCCGGGGAGAATTTGTAACAAATGTTAATAAGCAGCTTAAGGACATTATCAATTATCAATTTTCTTAATGCCTGGAATTGTAATTACTCAAAACAACTCCAGCACTCTGCCTAAAGTGACATCCTCAAAACTCAGTACAGCAGAATTCTTCCAGGTGCTTATTCAGTGATGCAGATTTTTGGCCTATCCAGACTGTATATGGTATATACAGTGAGAACTACTGATGTTCTGGTCAACCAACCAAATTTTAAAAACATACCCGATAATTATATTAAACTTTCTGCACATGACTTTCCTCCAGAAATTATTTCCCATTAAAATCAATTTCTCAATGGCCCAGTAAAAGAAGTAAGCTTTTATTTTCTAACGTTTCCCCTTTTTCCACAAAAGGCCCTCAATTTTCACTTGTGTATGGAGTATACAACCCAAGGCATATATTACAGTCACATAAGTGGGTCCCACAGCCTGAGTCAGCCCAATAAGGAGATGGAACCTCTGCTGGGCCAAGGAAGGACAGTTGAGGTTGGCACCCTGAGAACTAAAGCAGATTATAAAATGTCCCACAGTCTGAATATAAGTCTATAGACTTCTCAGTTTTGGGGTCAAAAGAGTCTACTTTTAACATAGTTAAGTATGGTTTTTAATACATTGTTTAAAAAAGAAAAGTACTAAGTAAACATTATTCTAGCACATTTTTAGAGAAAAGTAAGAAGCATAATATTCTTAACCATCTAGGCCAAGAGAATGGCTAAAAACTACCTATAGAGAAATTAGGTATTAACGTCTCAGCAGTAAGACACAACAGATTTCTAGTTACCTCTTCCAGCAATCACCACTCCCATTTGCCACCCCCCGCCTCGCCAATAGTGTCAAATATATATTACTAATAAAGTAAATATAAATAAAAATTTCTACCTCTAAACAGCATTTCATGATGGCCTAAGATGTCAGGTAAGAAAAATATTTTTTCATTGGAAACACAAAAAAGCTCCTAAACATTTTAAAGTTCTGAATTGTAACTCCAGCCAAACAAGTTTAGCTTAATTAAAAGTGAGAACAAGTTGAAGGTGTATTCAAATTAAAAAATAAAATGGCACCAAATGCTGTTTCAAGAACTCTTTTATGAACCACAGGAGAGAAAAAAAAATCTAGTAAAAACAATAATAATGCAATAAAATAATCCAAAAGAAATTACAGTTGATCCTCAAACACCACAGGTTTGAACTGTGCAGTCTAACCTTATACATAAACTTCCCCCGCTCCCCCAACCAGATGCAGACTGAAAACAGTATTTGTAGGGATGCAAAGCCTGCATATTCGGGGAGCTGGTTTTCATATACTGAGGTTCTGCAAGGCTGACTGCTGGACTTGAGTATGTGCGCATCTTGGGGGGTTGTTTTTCAGCACGATTCCCTGCATATACACCAAGGGACAACTGTGTAAAAAGGGCCACCGTAGTCTCCGTGGCTCCCTCATATCTCCACGAACTCAATCAATAAATGCTGTCTAATCATCTATCAAGAAGTATACAGGCACAAACATTAATGGTTGTATTTATTTTCAACTTTAAAAAAAGGCACGTAAATCTATGTGCAAATAGGGCATGATTCCTAGCACCAGGCAAGAAGTAGTACCTTTTTTTTATGTGGAATATTCAGATACTTTTCCATTATACTTGTCTAAATCACTCAAATGTATTCTTTGGAATTCACCTAATTGACCACTGTTAACCTTTATATAAAAAATCCTTTCCCATTAATACTGTGTACCTTCATTATGAGTTAAAACTAAAACAAAAAGTATGTCATAAGTTTTTATTGATGGCATTTATCCCATGGTTTAACATGTTAATTATACTGTAATAAACATGGCTTTAATATTAAACTTTTCCTTATTATCCAAAGTCACCACAGTCCATTTCAGTAAATATAAAAATATATGCTTAATACTTTGTACAATACTGGTTTTTGGTCCAAACAAAACTGGATCAGAAAAGCCAATAAATTCAACTTTAAGAATCCCCAATTTTTTTTTTTAAAGATTTCCAAATGGATTTAGGCAACTTTGAATAATGGGATTTACATAATAAAATCTGAGACAAGACTAAACAAACAACAAAAAAATTTCTAACACAAAAATTCCAATTTCAAGTTCACAGATTTTATGTTATGCAAAAAAAGTACAGAAACAAAATTGTATTTACATAAGTTTCATAATAAAATAATGAAAAAGGCAAGACAGGTGATAGAAGAATGAAAATATAGAAATAGCATATAATTATTAAATGGAGAACGAACTAGATCTAACAAGTCCTTAGCACGGACCATTCTTTAATCAGGCTTCCTGTATCAGAAGATTTTAGTGCACGATACACCTAACTCACTCACTTCACACATACACCAGCACAAACTTGGCATAGAAATCATTCATTTCAACATCCTCTAATCTATACAGAATTCTAATCTATACAGAATTCCTCAGATAAAATTACAATTCCAATGCGTTCCATAAATGCTTATCAACGCACATAGTGGCGCAAAGAGGTTCTGTACAAAGCCATCCTCTGTGTGAGCTCTATCCTGGGTATAACAGGACTATGTCAAATCAGTGAATAATCCGCTGGATCATAAAATATTTTTGATGAAGAATCAGTCCCCAGTCCAGCTATTATTTTTTAAAAAGAGGGTGGGTGACGTGGGGATGTGGCTTCTATAAAGAAAGAAAAAGGGGGGAAAGTTCCAAATTAAATAAGACCTTAGGCAGATCTGACTTCAGTTAACAGCAGCACACAGTACAATCCAGTCTGAAAACGGCACCAGCTGTTGTTAAAACTGTGTGTTAACACCAATGTGTCTTTATTTCCGGCGTCTAACGGCAGTCTTTATCTTGCGACCAGAAACTGAAGTTCCAGAAGAAGAGAACATATTTTTCCCATTTGACCTATGAAAAATAAAAACTTAATAATGTGATATAATGCTCAAGAGCACAATTTTAGAATCGTAACATTTAACGTAAGCAGCAAGGGGAGAGGTGATGGGGACACACAAACAAAGCACATCTTCTGCTATACCTAACACAAACATGACTGCTACTTTTTTCAGGCTATGTAATCCTCCCAAATTATAACATGGTAAATTGATGTTGGAAAACATATTTAATTTTATCCAAACTATACTGTACCTTGATGACTTTTAAAAACAAAATACGCACACACCTTTACCAATATAAATTCTCCATTTCAACAAAAAATTATCTTACCCTACTGTGAATGCTCCTGAAGACTGGTTAAATGGAAAGACCCCTGAGCCTGAAGGTGGGGCTGAGGCTGCCTGCGTGCTAGGATTTGCACCAAATGTGAACACTCCTGACGGATTATTGTTTGTGAAGTTGAAATTTGTAGTGCTGCTGCCAAAATGGAAAACTGAACCTACAATAGTTGAACAAAAAAGTACTTCATTAGGGAAAAAATAATTTTTTTAATTAATGACTGAGTTCTACATACAAAAACATGTATAAAGAGTTAAGATCTCTTATGGTCTCATAATCTAAAGAAAATTGAAATATTCCCTCCATTGAAACACAGTACACATACTTGACACCTCCAACAAATCACACAACTTACCCATGACCAAGGAAAAAGGGCAGTGTGGGTTTCTGGTTAAACACAG